TTAGGGGTTTAGGGTTTACGGTGGTTTTAGCATTGCTTGTTATGAGCACTTCGGACCCAAACCATTGAGTTGAACCCTTGAACTTTTCAACCCCAAGCCCCAAAGCCATGTGGTTGTTGGGTCGGAGCTGCTGGTATGAGCCCTATATGGCCGCTACACAACTTAGTATGATGAGTGAAAAACCCTCTTCTGATTACTGAGGCTCCTACATCATACCCATTTAGAAGCTGATAAGCCTTGATCATACCGTTAAAAGGAACTTTTTGTAGGGCCCTTGTTGCAAACCCAGTTCGAATCCTTAGATCCTTAATCTAATCAGTTCAAACTACGTATGAAGGCCTCAGGACACAAACCTAAACCCCTAAACCCTATCCCCATCCTTTTCGGCTGTGAGGATTCGCCCCCACCTCGTGCATCGGGACCGCGACAGCCATCGGTAGACGAGCTCAAGAAGGCCACTAAGCTGGGCGTTTAGGGCGTAAGGTGTTTATGGTTTTGTGTGTGTGTGTGTGTGTGTCTGTGTTTCTGTGTGTTTGTGTGTTTGTGTTGGGGACATGGGCATGGGTTTTGAGGTTATTGCTTTGGGTTTGGGGTTTTGGCTCTGGGGCATAGCCTTTTTGGTTATGGTAACCCTAAACCCTAAACCCTAAACCCTAAACCCTAAACCCTAATTGCTTTTCAGCACCAGTGGCCGCGTGACGCAAGGGTTTCTGCGGGGCCCAGACAGGTCAGGGCTTAGAGTTCCGGGCTGAAGGGCTAAGATACCCACACCTTAAGGACGAAAAGAGGCCTAAAAGGGTTTAGGGTTCATATACCATATAGGGATTCATAGTATCAGGGTATAGCCCCCTACTTTTAAGGTTCTTTTCGTCCTTAAGGCAAGTAGGTTACTGGGCTGCGGGTACTTTCAGGCGTACATAGGTTTGAGCAAGCAGCATCTCGTTGTACAGCTAAGGTTTCTTAGTACTCTTCTGTCAAGATTTGAAACTTAAGCGATGCATCGCTTTTGGAGCCATCTGTCTCCAGTTCTCCGAAACATTGGAGAAAGTTCTTGGTTCCTGTTTTCTCGGTTCCCGTGGTATGTTCCCTGTAAGTAAGACAACCAGCATTCAATCACTAGATGCATGCATTCTCAAGTCGCATATGCGAGTATGCAGACAACCCAGCAGATGACATGTATGTATGTATGTATGTATGTATGTATGTATGTATGTATGTATGTATGTATGTATGCATGCATGGGTGTATGTATGTATGTATGTATGTATGTATGTATGTATGTATGTATGTATACATATCTATATACAGATGTATATTGGTTGACTGCTTGATTGATTGATTGCTTGCTTGATCGATTAACTGATTGATTGGCTGATTGGTGGAAGGATTGATTGGTTGATTGATTGATGACTGAGACTGGTTGCTTGCTTGCTTGCTGGGGTGCTTGCAAGCAAGGTGCCCACAGACCTGTGATAGTTTGGGTTTCGGTCTATAGGTGGTTGAGGACTTCAATTCAATTCCTGCAGCTATACAAGAGGCTCTCAGGTTATCCCTAAACCCTAAGCCCTAAACCCTAAACCCTACACGCACTGGGCAGCGAGAGAAAGCAACATGTCTTCAAAGAGGTGCCGGAAGAAACTGAGCATCATTTGCAACTTCGAAACCTACACCCGGAATTTCTAGCCGGGCACTCCCGGAAGACGAAATGACTACACTAGCTTAAATGCTAGACTCTACACTTAGCCCAAACCCTGCGAGCTAAGCTTTCAGGCACAAAGGAAGGAGGAAGGTCGCCCCTCTCCGGGCGAGAGTTCAGGCTTTAGAGCCGTCAGCCCGACATCAGGTTAGCGATCACCTGAGTGTAGGGTTTCGGGTTTAGGGTTTAGGGTTCAGGGTTTCGGGTTTAGGGTTTAGGGTGTTCACCGCGCTGAAGTTGAACAAAAACGCGGGTTGCAGATCCGAAGATCTCCGTACCGCGAGATCAGGCTACTAGTTCGGGCTTCTCGGTAAGCCCAGCTACCCTAAGGGTCCATGTGCCAAAATAGTATATACTTTGGCCCCAAGGTACATATATAGGGACTACTTTAAGGCCAAAGTAAGTATCTAGTATTTGGGTACATGGACCCGCAGGGCCTTTGTGTTTGTGTACAATTGATAGATGCGCAGGCTTCATAGTGCCCGCAACCGAGTAACCAGAGAGCCCAATACCCCCTAATTAAGGAATATACCTTAACTCAGAATATTCAGGGCCCTATAATTAAGGCATATATATATATATATATATTATTTAAGGGGTATTGGGTTCTCTGGGCAACCTACTTTGTAGGTATCTGGGGCTCCTTTGGATTCTTCGCTCAGGAGATTCGCACCTACCTCTTGGGCAAAGACCTCAGCAGCATCTCTCTCAAGGCCGGCATAGCTATGTCATCGGCCTCGCCTGAAACCTAAGATAGGGGCCTATAATAATTACCTCTACTATTTTGGGTGTTCCTTATGATAATTAGAGTATAGTCTGCCCCCAAACCCTATTATAATTGTTAAGGACCCTATATCTAACTCTAAGCAACTGCAGTCTGGTACCCAGGCTCCCTGGGGCTTGCCCCTCACCGAACCTTACGGCATGACCCATACGGATCCTACCATACGGCTGCAAGTACCTGATCATCGTCTACTCCCTAAGCCCTAAACCCTAAACCCTACTCCCGAACTACTAGCCTAGACTATTGCACTCGTATCCTAAGCCCCAGTTTCCTACTCTTGCGGTCCTTTGAGATCTTATGGCTCCATGGTTCCAACCCCGGCGGGGTTCTAGTCCTATCGCTGGAGGGCGATCTGGTCTGGGCGAAACCCTAAACCCTGAAGGGCAGGCAGGGTGTAACCGGAGGGTTTAGGATTTGGGGTTCGGGGTTTGATCTAGGACTCTGGATTCGAGCTTCAGCCAACGTTTCGAAAACTAACATCGAATGAAGTTCTGTGAGAAATCGCCCTAGGTCCCTAAACCCTAAACCCCTAAACCCCTAAACCCTAAACCCTAAACCCTAAACCCCTAAACCCTAAACCCTAGTTGCCTCTGTGGTTGGGCTTCTCTTCTCCAAACCCTCTCTGAGCTGATTCGTGCCCAGAACTCGATACTATACTAATGTAAGGGACTTAATAGCTAGAATAGGGTTTTGGGGGTTCCTTAAAGGGTTCTATAAGGGCTACTATAAGGGTTCAGGGTGTAGGGGCCTTTATAACTAGAATAGGGTTTGGTGGGTTCTTTATTATAAGTATAGTAAGCATAATAATATACTCCAAACCCTACGCTAATTATTCAGGCCCTTTTTTACTTAGGTTTCATCTCCACAAACCCCTACCCAGCAACTCCAAAACCCCTTATTTACGAATAGACCTTAAATTGTAATAGGAACCCTAGTAAGATTTAAGGTAATTATATTCCTTAATTAAAGGGGTCTGGAGTCTCTGGGTATATGAGCCTGGAGCCCCTTATGGCAACCGGGTGAACCTGCTTGCGAACCCTAAACCCGAAACCTCTTAGTCAACCTACAGGGGTTTAGGGTTTAGGGTTTAGGACCTTAACCCACCAGAACCTACTTTCTTGTAGGGTCCCTATAAATCCCATATGAGGGTCTATAATAAAAACCTACAAAACAGTGGGTTTTGGTGGGTTAAGGTAGTGGGTTTTGGTGGGTTAAGGTAGTTCATACAGAAGCCATTATCTCAAACATGAAGGCACGTTTACTAAATGCAATGGTAGCCGCAAGTAGTAGAGAACGCTGTTTAAGGACCACGTGGAGGAACCCTATTCTAAGGGTCCATGTACCCAAATACCAGATACTGTGGCCTTAAAGTAGTCCCTATAAAGGTACTTTGGGGCCAAAGAAATTATATACCATTTGGTTACATGGACCCTCAGGGCTATTCCTAATTGTCCTAAACCCTAAACCCTAAACCCTAAACCCTAAACCCTGAACCCTTAGGGCTATTCCTAACCGTCCCCTTTTGCACGATCCAGGCCCTGAGAGTGGAACTGGAGACTCGCATCCCGGCGGCAGTAGAGCGACCTGGGCAGTTAGAAGAGCGTGGTGGGGGTTTAGGGGTTTAGGGGTTTAGGGGTTTAGGGGTTTAGGGGTTTAGGGTTTAGGGTTTAGGGTTTAGGGTTTAGGGTTTAGGGTTTTGGGTGGGTTCCGACACGACATAGCTAGTGCTTAGGTCCGTGTAGGGTTTGGGGTATATGCAGGAGATCATGGACCAATAATTATGTAATCGGGCACCGTAAGGACTACCATTTCTACTGATTCTGGCCCCCTCTAGGAGAGCTACCTGCAAACTTACCCGTTCCTTAACGAGCATACAGTATTGAGAGATCTCTCGATAGTGGAACGACGACTCCTCTCATAATGACCCTGACAACAGCCTTGCAGGACCCCCTAACGGAAATGAAGGCCCCTATACTGAACCCGTATGAGAACCTGATAATCACAAAGCCAGATGTTCAATATTCAGGGCCCTATGTTGTCCTCACTCTTTAACGAAGCCTTAAAGACCCTTTTATGAAAGAACCCTTCAAACAAAAACTCCATTCTAGTCCCTAAGCCCTAAACCCTAAACCGAACTCTAGTCATTGAGGCCCCTAAACCCTAAACCCTAAACATTCTCTTGGCAATACCAGGCAGATCGCCAATGCGGCATCCGCAGAGATTGCGCTAGTCCCGGAGGCAAATGCCGCTGCGGTTCGTGCCACTGCGGCGTGTGTGCAACCGCTGGCGGCGCAGATGATGAAGGGTGCCAGGTCGTGCTTTCTTCTCGAGCTCACGCCGGCAACTCACTGATTGTTGGACAAACCCAAAGGGTCTAAGTACTTAT